GGATAACTGTGGCAATTCTAGAGCTAATACATGCCAAACGAGTTCCGACCGCGGGTTCGAACGATCTCGCGGAACGAATGCTTTTATTAGAACAAAACCAATCGGATCTCGTTCGAACGAACGAGATCCGCAAATCTATGACGAATCTGAATAACTTTGAGCTGATCGCACGGTCCACAGAACCGGCGACGCATCTTTCAAATGTCTGACTTATCAACTTTCGATGGTAGGTTACGCGCCTACCATGGTGATAACGGGTGACGGGGAATCAGGGTTCGATCCCGGAGAGGGAGCCTGAGAAACGGCTACCACATCCAAGGAAGGCAGCAGCGCGCAAATTACCCACTCCCGGCACGGGGAGGTAGTGACGAAAATAACGATGCAGACTCTTTTCGAGGCTCTGCATCGGATGAGAACACTCTAAATCATTTAACGAGTATCCATTGGAGGGCAAGTCTGGTGCCAGCAGCCGCGGTAATTCCAGCTCCAATAGCGTATATTAAAGTTGCTGCGGATAAAAAGCTCGTAGTTTGATTTGTGTTCCGAGCAGTCGGTACGCCGTTCGTCGGCGGTCAACTGACTCGCGGCGGAACGTCCTGCCGGTTGACGGAGCGGGTGGCGGCGGCGGCGCGGGGGTTCGTCGACGTTTCTGCGTCCGTCAGTCTTAATCCCGTCGCGGCGCTCTTAACCGAGTGACGCGCCGGGCCGGCACGTTTACTTTGAACAAAACTGAGTGCTTAAAGCAGGCCGAACCCCAGCGCCTGAAAGTCGGATGCATGGAATAATGGAATAGGGCCTCGGTTCTATTTTGTTGGTTTTCGGAATTTCCGAGGCAATGATTAATGGGGACAGGCGGGGGCATTAGTATTGCGGCGTTAGAGGTGAAATTCTTGGATCGTCGCAAGACTAACCTAAGCGAAAGCATTTGCCAAGGATGTTTTCCTTAATCAAGAACGAAAGTTGGAGGTTCGAAGGCGATCAGATACCGCCCTAGTTCTTACCGTAAACTATGCCGGCTAGCGATCCGTCGATGTTCGTTCAGATGATTCGGCGGGCAGCTTGAGGGAAACCAAAGCCTTCGGGTTCCGGGGGAAGTATGGTTGCAAAGCTGAAACTTAAAGGAATTGACGGAAGGGCACCACCAGGAGTGGAGCTTGCGGCTTAATTTGACTCAACACGGGAAACCTCACCAGGCCCGGCACCGGAAGGATTGACAGATCAAGAGCTCTTTCTTGATTCGGTGGGTGGTGGTGCATGGCCGTTCTTAGTTGGTGGAGCGATTTGTCTGGTTAATTCCGATAACGAACGAGACTCTAGCCTGTTAACTAGGCGACGATCCGGACCCTTACACGGGGTATCCGGATCATCCGGCATGGAACGGCGGCGCGCTCCGTCGCGCCGTCTTCAAACTCGCTGCCGGCGACGGAATTTCTTCTTAGAGGGACAAGCGGCTTCTAGCCGCGCGAGATTGAGCAATAACAGGTCTGTGATGCCCTTAGATGTTCTGGGCCGCACGCGTGCTACACTGAAGGAATCAACGTGTCTGACGAATCCTAGGCCGAGAGGTCCGGGCAACCCGTTGAATTTCCTTCGTGATAGGGATCGGGGCTTGCAATTGTTTCCCGTGAACTAGGAATTCCCAGTAAGCGCGAGTCATAAGCTCGCGTTGATTACGTCCCTGCCCTTTGTACACACCGCCCGTCGCTACTACCGATCGAACGATTTAGTGAGGTCTTTGGACTCGTGCGCGGTGTTTCGCGTCGCGTTCGCGCGCGCGCGATCCTTCGCAGTCGCGAGGAAGACGACCGAACTTAATCGTTTAGAGGAAGTAAAAGTCGTAACAAGGTTTCCGTAGGTGAACCTGCGGAAGGATCATTACCGTATATATTAAACATGTGAACAAGTGAAATGTTGAATTAATTTTTTACACAAGACTTTGTTGAGACCGTCGCGAAAGATGATGACGATGACGGAATTTCGCGTCGGGCGCCCGGATTTCGTTCGGGCAGTAGAAAACTCGATTGCATTTTTTTGAAAAATGCGAAAACGACGAAACAATTATATGTAATTCTACGAAGCGTTTCGCCCGAAAACGAGTCTCTAATTATTTTTAGCATTGCACGACGACGCGTGAAATAAAATTACAAAAAAAACACGAGAATTTCTGAAGAAATGAATCAATCGATGTTAATCGTTGATTAATTTTATTTGAGAGAATGAAATAAAACCCTGAACGGCGGATCACTTGGCTCGTGGATCGATGAAGAACGCAGCTAACTGCGCGTCGACGTGTGAACTGCAGGACATACGAACATCGACGCTTCGAACGCACATTGCGGTCCTTGGAAAATAATCGTTCCCGGACCACGCCTGTCTGAGGGTCGGTTTGCGAAACTCTGACGCCGAAAGAAGCGCGGGCGAGCGCTTGCTCGCTCGACGAAAAGCGATCTTCGCGAGCTCTCATCCCCCGACGACGCGGACAAACAATGTGATTGATCGAAGGGGGGGAACGAGTCGCGTCGATTCAGAAAGAAAAAAAAAAAAAAAAATGTCATTTCGATTTTTTCGAAGCGCGAACGATGAGACGACGACGACGAACCGAAATCATCGTGCGCGCTCTCTCTGAAACGAAACGAAACGAGAGAGAGCCGCCGAGGGATCCGGGGAAAAAGCAACGGCGTTTTCTCGTCGTTTTTTTTTTCCAAGTCGCCGCCGCATCGAGCGCGAATAATAATACATCCACCGACCTCAGATCAGACGAGATCACCCGCCGAATTTAAGCATATTAGTAAGCGGAGGAAAAGAAACTAACCAGGATTCCCCGAGTAGCGGCGAGCGAAAAGGGAAGAGCCCAGCGCCGAATCCCACGTCCCGTCGGTCGGACGTCGGGAAATGTGGCGTGAGGGAGCGCTTCGAAACTCACACAGATTCGCGTCCGGAGCTCGCTCGCGAGTCCAAGTCCATCTTGAAAGAGGCCACAGCCCGGAGAGGGTGCCAGGCCCGTAGAGGCGGCGGCGAGTTTCGGACGGGAAGCGTCTCCTCAGAGTCGGGTTGCTTGGTAGTGCAGCCCAAAGCAGGTGGTATACTCCATCTAAGGCTAAACACGGCCACGAGACCGATAGCGAACAAGTACCGTGAGGGAAAGTTGAAAAGGACTTTGAAGAGAGAGTTCAACAGTACGTGAAACCGTTCGGGGGTAAGCGCGTGAAACTCGAAGAGTCGCACGCGGGAGATTCAGTATTCGCGGCGCCGGGACGGAGGAGCGCTCAAACGAGGCGCAGACGCGGACGCGGGCTCGCTCTCGAGTCCGACGTCGGCCGAGCGTTTTCCCCTGCAAGTGTCTCGTCCCGCCGCGGGTCCGCACTTCTCCCCGCGTTAAAAGACCGTCGCGACCGGCCGGCCACAGCCGGGATCGAGGGCGTTCGCGGACAGACTCCGGGAAAGGTTGCGGCGTTCGATCGTCGCGCGTGGCGCGGCGACGGTCGCGCTCCACGCGCTTCCATCGGAGACGCGAACGAGGCCCGATCCCGGGCCGGCCGTATGAAACGGAATCAGACGATCGCTCGCGTCGGTCGCCCGCGAGGGCGCGAGCGCGTCCGTCGGCGGTTCCCGTCCGGGGAATCCGCGCCTCGCTTCGTTCGCGCGGAGCGAGAGCGCGCGCGTTGTCCGGACGCGCGGCCGCCGTTCTCGGACCGAGAATCCAGCGACGTCGGTCGAGCGGCGCAAATGGTTTCGGGCATTCACGCGACCCGTCTTGAAACACGGACCAAGGAGTCTAACATGTGCGCGAGTCGTCGGGTTTCGTTTGAGAGACCCGCAGGCGAAGCGAAAGCGAAGGGGAGTCTCGTCCTCGATCGGACTCGCGCTTTTTTGCGAAAGCGCGAGTTCGAGCTCCCCGCGAGACGATGCCGTCCGTCGCTCGCGAGCCGGAAATCGAAAAGGCGCGAGCGGCGAAAAAAGACAAGAACCAAGCAGACGAGAGCGACGAATAGCCGGAAAGAGAAAATTCGCCGGGCTCGCGAGAGCTCGGCGACCGGCCGGCCGCAGTCTCGGGGCGTCTCTGGCGTCTCGCGCGGATTTTTCGTCCGCGCGCGACCGAGGCGCACCGCGAGCGCACACGTTGGGACCCGAGAGATGATGAACTATACCTGGTCAGGACGAAGTCAGGGGAAACCCTGATGGAGGTCCGTCGAGATTCTGACGTGCAAATCGATCTCTTGAACTGGGCATAGGGGCGAAAGACTAATCGAATCATCTGTTAGCTGGTTTCGCCGGAAGTTTCCCTCAGGATAGCTGGCGCGTGGAAACAAGGTGTTTCATCCGGTAAAGCGAATGATTAGCGGTCTTGGGATCGAAAAGATCTCAACCGATTCTCAAACTTTAAATGGGTGAGAACTCGGACTTGCACGAACGTTTTTGGCGAAGTTCGAGAAGCGCAATCCGGCGGACTCTCGGATCGCGACGTCGATCGCGGTCCGGCGAGGCTCCGAGAGGAGACGCGCAACGAAACCGATACGTGCCAAGTGGGCCATTTTTGGTAAGCAGAACTGGCGCTGTGGGATGAACCAAACGTCGAGTTAAGGCGTCCAAATCGACGCTCACGAGATACCATGAAAGGCGTTGGCTTCTATAGACAGCAGGACAGTGGCCATGGAAGTCGGAATCTGCTAAGGAGTGTGTAACAACTCACCTGCCGAAGGAGCTAGCCCTGAAAATGGATGACGCTTAAGCGTCGTGCCTATACTCGGCCGTCAGAAGGCAAAAGGGAAAAGTCGCGGGCGAACCTCGGATCGCCCGCAACTCGTCGTCGCGTTCTCGTCCGGACGGTCGAGAGATGTTCGGCGAACGCGTTCGCGCTCGAGTCTTTTCCCGTCAAGCCCTGACGAGTACGGCGTACGAGGCGGTGAGCGCAGAAGGGCCTCGCCGCGAGGCGACCTGGAGCCGCCGTCTGTGCAGATCTTGGTGGAGAGCAATGACTCGATAGAGGACCTTGAGGACTG